AGACCCACGACCTCCGGGCGCGGGCGGCTGGGGGCTGGGAGGGGCCTCGGCGGACACCACGCGGCCGGCGGGGCGGGCCCCACGCGCGCCCGCATCACACCTCGCTTCTCCTCTTTGGGGGCTAGGGGCAGCAAAATTAAAAAGGGGCCGCAGAGTGGGAGTGTGTGAGTAAGTGTTGGGGTGGGGGGAGCCTCATTTTACCCCTCAGCAGCACAAGCACCGAGGGAGCAAAGGGTTATTTTCGCGCCACAAAAGATGGAAATGCAGGGGAGGCTCGGGGGCCAATGAGTGGAAACCAGCAAACGGCTCTGGCGGAGGCAGCCGGCGCTGATAGGCTGCCCCGGTCCGCCAATCCGATGAGCCGCAGCCCCCCCGCCCCCTCCCCTGCCAGGGGCGGCGTCTCCCCTTACGCTGGTTGCTCAACTCGGTCTCGTCGAGTCGGCCCCGTGGAGCGCGGGAGCCCCGCCCTGGGGCCGCGTTTGCGCGCCCGTCGCGCCGCTCGGCCCCGCCCGGGGCAGACGCGCGGGGTTCGGCTGCGGCCCCCCGGCATTCCCCCCCACCCATACCGTGGGGACTCGCTCGCTGGACGCCCTCGCGCCCGCGGAACATCCCGGAGGTGCGGCAGGGTAGGGGTACACGCGCTCTTGCGGGCCAGGACGGTCTCAGGTGGGGAGTTGCAGCGGGCGGCCGCCCCCAGACCCCCCACGTCTAAGTCGGGCACCGGCCTTCGCGCGCGACTGGGCCGGCATCCTCCAGGAGACGCCTGTCCCGTGGCGGGGCGTGGATGGGCCAGTGCGGGTCGAGCAGGCGGCCGCAGATGGATCTTCCTCCGCGTGGGGCTTCAAGCCTTCTCCTGGCAGAAGCACCGGAGGGGAGGAAACAACTCCATCTTCTCGTCTCCGGGGGCACCATTTTTAAAAAAATAAATAAAATTTAAATAAAATAGAAGGCGGCTGATCCGGAGAAAGAGCAGAGCCCGGTTTTACCACTTATCATGCCTCTAGTTGAAACAGATCAGAGTCCAGGAAAGCTGTACGTAGGAAGGAGCAAGAACGTGTTTAAGAAAAAAGAGAAAAAAAAAAACCCCAACAAACCCCTAGGAGGCCCAGCGACGCGGCGAGGAGCTTGCCCAACGGATCCAAGGGCTTCTGAGTCGGGCTAGTGGAGGGGAGGGCGAGGGGGGGGGTCTTAAGATACCACAAAATGCCCTATCCCAGTCGCTTTCCCTGTCCAGCCTTCACTCTTAGCCTGTGGCTACAGCATGTGTACTCCAGCTTTTAACATTTTCTGCTTTAATATTACACTGATCCCTAAGAAACTTTAAAAAATCACCCACAGGTTAGCAGATAAGGAGGAGGCGCAGCTGTCTGCAAGAGTAAACAGGCTACAGTTGGAAGGAAGCAGCATCAGCATAGATGACGGATGAGTAGGAGTTCTTTCTTCTTGGAGTTCACATTAACTTAAGGCAGAACTTCTTCGGGAAGAAATTGGTGTAGCCTGAGTACATGATTCCTTGTGTAAAACCCATTGAAAAAATTGAAGTTAGGTCTTATATTCATTCTTGGAAATACACTAGAGATAATCATGCACTTGAAATGTCAGTACAAACAACTACCCAAGCTCTCTTTACTCAGCTATTGTGTATATACTTACTCAAATGCTTGGAAGGTTGGAAGTCGACTGTATCCACCTCCCTTTTTGATGTCTGAGCTTATGTAACTGGTGTATGTTTTTAAGGTCCTAGATGGAGTATCCATTTTGTTACAAAAATACACAGATTAAGTTCACAAGAGTCCTAGAACATATTTCATCAAAACAGCACAACTTGTTTTAAATTCCAGCTGTTAGATTTGTTTGATAGTGACAGACAAGCATGGGCTAGTATTTATAGAAAATAAACACGTTATTCCATGCTTTAGAAGTAGTTATTTCCTTAGGTGTCAGTATTAATAAGAGTAAAACAGTCAACAATCCAAAAGGCACCATACAATGAACCTGGTAAGCAAGCTGAACACAGATAATTTGTTGTAGAAAAAGTTCAATGATTGTCAACAGATGACATGTAAAACTCAAGTGGTACATGGAAAAACAACTATCAACAAATAAAAAGCACATTTCTCCAAATAGCTGTTGAGTTCATGCAACAGGTAACATAGAATATTCATAATTGATATTTATATTTTGCATATCACATAAAGGAATTCATATTTTTAGAAGTAATGGTCTTTCAAAAAAAAAGGGAAAATAAGTAGTCTTTAAAGAAAAGTTAAGCTTAACCCATCAACTTAAAATTTAACCACCAAAATGTTCTATTAAGGTAGAGTTCATAATACAGTTCTAAACACTATTACACAAGGACAGTTTGTTCCCTCCAACTTAGAAAGTAGTAACATTTCACTCAATTAAATGTGAATGAAAATACTGTGTGTATATTTAAAAAGCTGGGCTTGCTTGGTAGGAAGGAAAAACCTGTTAGAAAAACCAGTTGCATGTAAAATGGATGATCTGACATTTTCCGGTTCCTTAACATAACATTTGTAAGTTCCTTTTAAAAGAAAAAAAGTAAGTACCCTGCATCATGCAATAATTCCCACGTATTTGAAAAGTAATCTGCTCCTCATCTTTTAATTGGGAAGCACTTTCAAATGCCATATATGGGTATGACAAAGGAAAATGTAATGTAACATAATTACGGAGCTATGTCGTAACTTCAGAAGGTTCAGTGTCAATCCTAACATTTTCTCTTACACAATATATATATATATATTTTTTTTTAACTGGCAAGCGTACTCAGGTATAAAAGACTTGTTTCTATTTCCATCCTGGGTAAGACGCTCCTCCAGCAATTAGCATTTTATTTAGCTTGTTAACAGAGAATACCTGTTAAAAAGATACCCCAAGAACCCAAATGAACAGGACACCTCTGAGCGAAGCCCGCACAACCTTTCAGCGACCCCGGGCCCTTTCCAGCAGCACCCAAGTCCGGCGCTCATTTCCGTCTTCCTCGGCTCCGGGCCACTGTCGTCGGCGGGGCCGGCTGGCCCGGGCCCCGAGCCTCCCCCCTCGACGCGCACCATTGTGCGATCGCACACGGGGGAAATTATGAATGGTTCTGCGGGCCGAATGCGGGCAGAACGCCGGTGGGAGAGACCCTCACCATTTCTCCAGCGCCAATACTACCTAGGGCCGAGGCAGCGCGGTCTTCCTGTTTTTCGAGTCCCAAGTTTTCCGAGTAAAAGGATTTCAATAAAAGTACCAGCCTACCCCTCTCTCCTCCGCCTTTGGAAACTACAGGAAGAAATCGCTTCCTTTTGCATAAGACTTTTCCCACTCTCGCTCGGCTCCCGAGGCCTCTGGGCTGGGGCGCGGGGGGCGGGAGGACCGTCCCCGAAGCACCCTGCACGCCTCCCCCCCGCCCCAGCCCCAGCCCCCAGCCCGCCGCCGCCGCGCGCCCCTCCCCCCACGGCGGCCGAGCCCGCCCCCGGCCTCATTTATCCCGGAGCCTTTTCTGAATCGCGCAACCAATGGCAAACGCGAAGCCCCGAGCCACCGCCGGCGCAGGCGGAGGAGGTGTCGCCCAGACACCCGCCCAGGACGCCGCCGCGGGCTCCCATCCCCCACCCGCCCGCCCGCTCGGCCCGGGTGGGGTGCGGGGGGTGGGCGCCCACTTCCCCGGGGCCCGGGCCCGGGATGGGTGCAGGGGTGGGGCGCGCCTGCCCGCCTCCGCCCCAGCGTGCCTCCCCCACCCCCGAGCCCCGCGCGTTTCCGCCCCTGCCAGCCCCGCCAGCGTGCTCGTGGCTTCGCCGAGGTTGCAGTTCTCCTGTCACTGAAAGCCACCAAGGCGCGTTCGCCAAGGGTGACTCTTTGATCTGCTTCCATTACCTGCATGTTTTTCTTTCTTTTTTTTAAAAAAAAACAAAACAAAATCGAATATTTACAACTCCGGTGCACGGGAGCTCCAGGAACTGCCTAGTTAGCACCCTCCACCCCTTCCTCATTTAAAAAAAAAAAGAAAAGAAATCAATATGCCTCCCCTCCCCCTCAGGACCCGCCCCGACCAGATAACCCTTTCCAAACTCCAGGGGTGACGAGCGGCGCCCCGAGCCGCGCTCCCCGGCGCGTCCGGGCCGCGGCTTTCGGCGCCGGCCACCCCGCCCCCCCGCCCCCTCCTCCGCCCGGGGTCCCTTGTCAATCTCCTTTCCCCTCCCCCTCCTCGGGCTCCCCTCCCACCCCCCGCCCCCAAACCCACTCTAATTGAGGCGCTGGGATTCCTCACGTGAGACGTTGATTTGTAGTTTGAACACGTGGCTCATTCAAAAAGCCGGACACTCGGAGCGGATTTTTTCCGCCTCCTTGCGCCTCCCTCCCCGCACCCCGGTTCCCCCCACCCCCACCCCCGCGCTTCTAGCCAGTTACTCTTCAGGGTTTTTTTTTCTTTTTAATTATTTATTTATTTATTATTATTTTTTTTAATTTTTCCGGGGGAGGCGGCGCCTTGCCCTCGCCCTGGGTGATATTTTCCCTGTCGGCCGGCCGAGGCAGCGGGGCTGGGGAGGAAGAGACAAAAAAAGTCTCCCCCCTCGCCGCCGCCCCCCGCTCCTCCTCCGCCTCCTTTTTCTCTCAGAGCCCGCCTCCCGCTCGGAGTTGGGAAGACTCGCGGATGCGTTTGGGGTGTAGGACGCCTTTTGCTTTCTCTCTCTCTTCTCTCGTTTTTTTTAATAGCTAGGGGAAGGGAAAAAAAAAAACCAACAACGAAAAAAAAAAAAAAGACCCGGAACCTTCGGCTCTCGCGTCTCTGGCGTCTCGTCCGCGTCGCTCGCCCCGGGTTCTGACCGCGCGCGTGTGTTTTCACGGCGAGAAGACGAGGGCAACAAAAACCCCACCGGATCCAGCCACCTCCCCGTGGGTGCTTTTAATTTTTCTTTGGCTTTCCTCCCCGTGTGGGATTACTATTATTATTTTTTTGGTTTGTTTTGTTTTTAAAACCACCACTCTGAACAATGAACAAACTGTATCTCGGGAACCTCAGCGAGAACGCCGTGCCCTCGGACCTCGAAAGTATCTTCAAGGACGCCAAGATCCCGGTGGCGGGCCCCTTCCTGGTGAAGACGGGCTACGCCTTCGTGGACTGTCCGGACGAGAACTGGGCCCTCAAGGCCATCGAGGCGCTTTCAGGTGGGCCCGGCCCGGCCCCGCGGCCGCCTGGGCCTGCGGGCTCCGGGGGCCGCGCCAGGCCTGGCGGCCGGACTCGGGGGGCGGGAGGGGGGGTCCCTGCTGGGGGCGCGGACGCAGCTCCCCTCCCCCCCGGAGCCAGGCGGCCGGAGGGCGGACGCGCTGTCAAGAGAACTCGGGCGCGGGCCCCCGGCGGCGCGGCGCGGCGGGGCTGGGGGTGCCGCGCCCGCCACCCTCCCCGGAACGCTCGGCGGGACCCAGGCGTGTGCTGCTGCGGGTCGGGGCGTGCGGGCCGCGGGGCCGCGCCCTCCCTCTCTCTGTCTCTCTCTCTCTCCCGCTCTCTCTCTCGCCTGCTTCTCGGCCCCCGCGGCCCCCCGATCCCGGCGGTGGGAGCGCGCTGTGGCCCCCCAGCCCGCCGCCCAGCCCCGGCCGCCCAGCGCGGCTCTCCGCCCTGCGGGGGGCGAGCGCGTGCAAGACCCGGAGCAGGCCCGCGCCCCAGCTCCCAGCCCGACCGGCCGGAGGGGCAGGTGGGGCAGCCTGGGGGGGCGCTGGGGTGGGGTGCGACCCTGGACTCGGCCGGGGAGCCCCGGGCCCCGCGCCTTCTCTCGGAGCGTCGCCCTGGGGGTCCTTGCCGCCTGCCCACCTCTTTCCCCCCCAACTCTCGCGCTCCTCGCCCTGCGGGACGCGCTCCCGGGCGCCCCCTCTAGAAATTCGCCGTGGACGCGCCCTCGCGGAATCGGCCCCCCCCCCCCCCCCGGGTGGCAGGCCTGTCCTGCGGGCGTGGTGGGGGTGGGTGACCCTCGGGAATGAGCACGAGGGGAGGGTTAAAGAGCATGCGACCCCACCCATCTGGGAGACGCCGCACCACCTCCCCCTTTCCACACTCGCACGGGGGGAGGGGGGTCACCCCTTGCTTGGAGCCGCGTCGGGGTGCCATTGAGTCGCGCCCAGCCGGCCGTTGCGGGTCCTCTGGGCCAGAAAAGCGGGCGAGCCCTGACCGCCGTCTTCCGCCTGTGGCCCCGCAGGTAAAGTGGAGCTGCACGGGAAACCCATAGAAGTGGAGCACTCGGTTCCGAAAAGGCAGAGGTGAGTTAAGTCTGTTTCTGATCGCTCCTGTTCACGACTCCTCGCGGGTCCGGGGCTGGGTCCCGGGCTCGACGCTGCTGAAAACGACTTTTCCTCTTTTGCGGCCTTTGTCGTGCACCGAAGTTTGTGTGTGTGTGTGTGTAAGACACAGACTCTGGGTTATTGTTACTGGCATAAGAGTGGCCCAGAACAGGCTTTCACAGCTCAAGGCTGAGTAGATCAAGTTGTGGCAGCAGGAAATCAGTCTCAAAGGGCAGTTCTGGGGAACTGAGGCCGACCCTCCCCCCAGCGCCGAGTATCGGCGAAAGCAGCTGCAGACACGCGTGGGTGTGGCCCGCCTTTCCTCCTCGGCCCGCCGTGGGTGGTGGCGACAAGTCTGAGAGGTCTGGGAGGCCATCCCCGCATCTGCGAGGGGAGGAATTAGTTTGGAGCACGTTGGCTCGCTGGCCAGGGGTGGGACTCCGGGAGCGCGCCTGTGCTTCTGCCCGCAGCAGGCTCAGACCCTCCCGAGTTCAGGGGTTTGGTAAATCCCCTTTGTCTCCCTCCCACTCCTGAGTATCGATATGTATTGGTCTGCACGGAACCCACGGGGGGATAAAGACCAACAATTGTGCTGCTTGACTGAGGGCTTTTGCCGGCCGTTTTGTGTGGTGTGTCACTTTCCTGTTTTCACAAACCCTGGAGTATTTTGGAGAAATGACTCCGTGCTCCAGAGCAGACCAGATCCTGCCTTTGGAACTCTGAACTGGACATCCAGGCGCTGCTCCCTCTTGTTTGGGACCAGGGCTGGCCTTTCTGCGCTTTTTTGCGTTTTGCAAGCCTGAGCTAAGGTTTCTGTCTTTCTCTTCCCATCCCCCCTACTCCCGCCTTGGGCTGAGCAATAAGCTGGAAGTTAATTTAAACCAGGACCTTGTGTCCGAGCGCGCAGGTAGGACTGAGAAGGGAATGTGCGGGAGGTAGGAGCGGGTTGCTTTGCATTTGCTCCTCGGTGCTGTGCAGATAGTGAACTGAGCTCTCTCCAGGTAAAGCTTCTGTCACAAATGTGGTTTTGGTACAAACAGGTTTTAATTTTTGTGAATTTGCCTTATCCATATACTTAAGTTGAAAAGGTCATTTATGTGACCTGAACTCCAGCTGGAGATTTTGGTAGTGTTGGAGATATTTCATCTATTAAATTGGGGGCAGGGGTTTGGGACCACACCTTGTGTTGGGCACAATGTGTATGTGTGTGGTATTCTTGCTCTGTGCATGGGGGATCATACACTGTGCTGGGCTTGGCAAGATGCAAGGCAAGTACCTTAACATCTGAACAATTTCTCTGACCCTAAATTAAAACAATTTTTTTTTGGAGGTTGGGGCCACACCTGGTAGTTCTTGGGGACAGTGGCTCTGCCCAGACCTCCTGGTGGTGCTCAGGGAGGGATGGAACATGGACTTCCCAAATGAAAAACCCACTCAACTATCTACCCAGCCCTAGAAAATATATTTTAGAAAGATCATAAAAAATTTTTACTGAAAAGTAGTTAATTTGAACTGATCTGAAATGGAAGCATTGAATGTCTCTCCTCCCTTCATCCACAACAATGAAAAATTTTAATTAAAAAATTGAATATTTATAGTCAGAATTTACCTAGGGGAAAGTTGAACTTGCAAATTCTAATGAGTCCATTTTGTCTTATTTTTCTTAAATATTAAATACGAAGTTAACACTGCTGCGTTGAAGGACTAGTATTTTTATTTTGGAGAGTTTCTAAACTTAAAAGTGTCTTCCATTTTCAGATAAAATTCATTGAGCTCCCAGTAAATGTTAGTTCCAATCTAATGTGAATTTCTCCACTGGTGTAGGGAATTAAAAACATTAAGACTGCCTTCCCTTTAGAGACTTTCACCAAGCCTAAGAGTTACTTGTTACTTTATAAGTAACTGATTGCCTTTTCAGGAAACCCTGTGTGTGAAATGTTACCAGTGGTAGAAGTATTTATCAGTAGAGACTGAATCAGCTGGTTATCAGTTTGGATTAAATTTATTTATTTATTTATTAACTTGACTATTCAGTAGACATGTCAGACAACTTTGTGTTGATTTGAGAATGATCTAGAAACAAATGAAGGGACTGGAGCCATAGCACAGCTGGTAGGGTGCTCACCTTGCTTTTGGCTGACTGGTTCTGTTCGATCCCCTACATTCCTTATTGGGGCCAGGAGAAACCCCTGAGCATCACTGGGTGTGACCCCTCAAACAAAAACAAACAAATCGAGTTTGCTTTCTTTGCCGAGGAAAATATTGGAAGTCTACCTTACAGTTTTATTTTAGCAGAATCTTGGTGCTGTGGTGTGTTTTCCCTTACCTGGATTTTTAAAAATAGATTTTGGGAGAGCTCAGAGAAGGCAAGCTGATATTTTATATGCCGGCACCTATGAGACAGTCTTAGAGGGATGGGTGACAGAGTTGAATGCAGTAGACCAGTCTGCACCAAGGGTGTGAGCTTTGTGCTGAGTAGTCATTATATTCCATACTATCATCATCATGTCGTGGGCATCTGAAGCTGGCACACCCACATGTGCAGTGGTGACCTTTCTACCTGAGGTGCAAGGCATGTTGGGAGCCCAGAGCTGAGGAAGGCTTAGAGCAGCCCTGTGAGATGGATGGATGGGCTTGTAGCAACTAAACCAAGGGTGCAGGTCCAGATGGTTGTGGGGGTATTTTGTGAGGCTGGCCCAGTGTTGACTGCTAGTGTAGTGAAAGGGCGGGAGCCCTTTCAGGAAGAGGCATTGTTGGGTTTAGTTCAGACTGAGTTTAGCTCCTGATTACAGAAGTCTCACGGGAATGTGGAAGGAATGTTGCTTTTCTGCATTCAGATACCCCTCAGTTGGGGGTTATAGCAGAACTTCACGGGGCTTGAGATCCCCTATATTAGGATTCAAGAGAAGATTTTGCTGGATATCTGTGCTAGTGTGACAATTACTGTTCCAAATATAACAAGTACAGCATATAGGGTTGGGGAGATAGCTGAAAAGGGTGGAGTGCATGCTTTGCATGCAGGAGCCCTGGGTTTGGTCCAGGCACCATATGGTCTCTTGAGCACTGCCAGGTGTTGCCCCAAAACAACAGTGACACCAACAAAAAGTACAGTATATAAAGATCTGGCTTAACTCTGAGCTATAATCTTAAAAAAATACAAGAACTGGGACTGGAGTGATAGTACAGCAGGTAGGGTGTTTACCTTGATGTGGCCAACCTGGGTTCGATCCCTGGAACCCCAGATGGTCCCCCAAGCACTGCCAGAAGTGTGATCCGTGAGCATTGCCTGGTGTGTGTGTTCCCCCAAACCTCCTACCAAGTACAAGAACAAAAAACTTTCCCAACTGGGGAAAAATGTGGGTGTGAAAATAATTGTGATTTTGGAAGATCACTTAAGTTTGATTGGAGTAGACACTGCCTTGGACCGTATATGTACCCCTATGTGATTATGTTATTAAAAAAAAAGTACTGATGTTCGTTTTTGTTATGTTGTGGGCCACTGGGCATGGGAGAGGGAACATGGAATGTTGCTGACATTGGGGAACTGAGAGGATGGTGGTTTTAGTTCATTTTCCATGACTTTTTTCAAATCATGAAAATGCATATTTTCAACTTTTATAACTTAAACTTCCTTATGGTTAATATTGATTAGGATTATAAGTAGCTAAACTATTTCTGTATAAAAGAGAAAACAGAAGGTATTTAAGTTGCTAGTAGTTTTCTAGGAAGGATTCATTAAATAGATTGCGATGCCTAACTCAAATGTCTGTTTTATTTTGACTTAAAATTAAGCTGGGGGTGTAGTTCAGCGGTAGAGCAATTTGTGTTGCATGTGTAAGGACTTGAGTTCTGTTTCTGATACCATTAAAAAACATACACATAAACAGCAGCAGTTAAAAACTCCAAACCCAAAAATTTCGGCTGAAAAGATCCCTCCACTGGCTGGAGTGCGTGCTTTGTGTGAAGGTTTGACACCAGGTCCATGAGTGTTGCCAGGAGCCATACCTAGTCACTGAACCCCATCCCCATATTAAATTTCTCGTTTAGAATCATGTTTAACATGTCAATTGGATAGTGAATTGATATCAAAGTTACAGTAGTTTAAATGTCTTGTAGAAACTGTTTAAATATTACTGCTTGCTTGATTTTGGGCCATACCCAGTTCTCAGGGTTTACTCCTGGCTCTGAGTGGAAGTAAAATAACTCCTGGTGGGGCTTTGGGGACCATAAGGGGTGCAAGGCAAGCGTCTCACTCACTACAGTCTCTTCAGAACTGAGTGCTGCATTTTAATTGCTGTCTAGAATTAGGATGTCTAGAATTAGGATAGTGTCTTGATCAGCAATGTGTTCAATACTCAGGACATGTGACCCTGACTTCTCAGGACAACACAAGCTGTTTTTTAATGTTGCATATATGAGCATAGGTATGCATAGCTATGCTGCTTCCTGTTAGTGTGGTATAGGTGAACCTGGTAACCTGGGGAGATTACTTCACTTGCAGAGACTTGAGGTTCTGCACATTTGGAGACTTTTGAGGCCGATAAGATGCAGTTATCTTTGGAGTGCTGAGTTTAAAGTCAGTCATGTGTAGCTCCTTAGGTGTTTGTAGTCAGAGATTTTTCTTGATTTCATATTTTTTTAATACAGTTTGAGAGATTTCAAAAGCCTTCTGTTGGCCTTACTAGAATTTAAAAAAAGCTTTTTAAAAAAATGAATGTTGAGAAATCATTAATGAGGAAGCTGTTCAAAAAATGCTTTTGGCCAGTGGGAGCTGAGAATTTTGGTTTTGTTTCTTCCTATTTGATTTGTATGGTCACATTTTCTGTTCATATCAAGTCCCCATGTAACAAGGGACATATTTTTCTGAGTTTTGTCATTCAGTTTGAGATGAGAGTTACCAGCTAAGATATTAAAATACCTCTTGGAATTCTAGAGGTTTGGAATTTTCCCTTTAAGGAACTTTCTATTTTTGCTTGTTT